CACTGCACTGCACTCAGCACTCATCTAAGCTACAACACGCCTTTGTTAAACAGGCTCAACATGGACAACACAGACAACACAAGTCATGTGATTCCTAGCCAGTGAGTTCATTGGTGCGCTAACTTTGCCTAGCAATGAGCAATAACATTCGTCCACTGAGACACATCTTCCATTGTTACACGGAACATGTGTACCAAGCCATCGTACAGAAACACTTTGAGCAAATCCGTTACAATACTATCACAGATTCTGGCAAGGGACAGTAAAATATGCATATTCATTCATTTGTGATATATGTATTTCTAATGCCGCCAGATATGGTGTATTTGACATTTCTGCCCTCTGCCCACCTGGGCCAGAGCACTGAATCTATTCTGACATAAGGGCACCCACAGGGTGGATTGTGTAATCCCCAATAATGGGGTGATCACAAGAGTGATGATCAGGAGATGGAACCAACCAAACCATGGGAAGGTGTACCCATTTTTGGTTGAGGATTGAACTCTGGACCCTATGAATGAGAGTCAGTGACTTGCCCCTGAAACCATCAGTCTGGCCACCTAAACAATGTGCATGAGCCTTTACGATATTCACAATATGCACAGCCCATTCAGTGAAATGACTAGCTACCAATTCAGAAAGCACAGCTAGAACCCCTGATGGGAACACTGCTCTAATTCAAGTGCAGAATCCTTACGACAAGGTAACGGGAAACAAAGTGATTAGGGAGGGGGGTTTCTTAGGAAGGACTAATGCTACCGAGACCACATTCCCAGCAGTGACAGACATTCTTCTTTTCTCCATAGCATCCAGACTGGTGCTTAGGACCACCCAGTCTCTTATCCAGTGAGTACCAAGGGCTCTGCCCATGAGGGTTAAGCTGACCATTCACCTCCACCTAGTACGAAGCTTAAAAATATGCAAAGCTATACCTTCACATCCACATACATCTTTATGGCATGGTAGTTAATTAAGCACAGGCAAAATTTTTCTGCGTGTTACATAAAAATAAAACGTTCCTATGAGCAGAACTGAAAGAAAATCTGTCTTTCAATGACTGACATGTAACAGGCCTCTCATGAAACTGCTTGTACAAGCAAGGATTGGTCTCCATGCAAATGTGCAGTGCTGGAAGGGATAACATACCACCAACACAGCTACCAGAGCACCTTGCAGCGCCCCAACTAGCACATCACTCCAATGGTGTTTGTAGTCAGAGATGCGGGAGAGGGCCGTGCCCATAGCCATCATGAAGCACAGGTACTGCAGGAAGTGACGCAGCAGCTTTGAGCCTTGCCACACGAAACGGGCCTGAAGATAGATCTGCAAGAGTCATAAACAAGTGGTACAGCAACTACCGCTGTTCAGAAATATGTACTTCTAGCTGTAGCCAATACAACTACTCACATGAACTGTCAAGACAGGAAAATTTCCACTGACATCTCTAAAACTGGAATGTTCGACATGAGTGTCTGTTGTGAGTTCATATCGGCTACCTCACAGATCCCACATACTTAGCTTTCTTACAGTGTGACCAGCCAAGCTCCATATTAAAGACTGAGGATGTGATAACGAGCTGCCTGGTCAGGGTTATTTGATATATCAGCAGGTGGTGAGTGATATAAAGGAGAATGCGATAAGTGAGGCATGTAGCACACACGATAAGAAAGTTTTCAATTTATTTTACATGCATGTCATCACCAAGTCATCTTCTATGAAACAGTTCAGCACTGCATTTCAAACAACACTGCAAACACAATCCTAAAACGAAGGAAATGACAAATCTTGAGTAGGTAACCTCATGGCAGAAAAGTCCTCTGAATTTGATGGGATCATTCGAATGGTAATTTTGGTTCCTTTGTAAGTTGAAAATAGAATCTAGTAACTTCCTAACAACATGATGAACTGTAACAGTATCTCATGTTAATCGACCCTTACAGATATTTCAGAGGCACAATCTGCACAAAGTATGATCACTACATCTGCTGCTGCAAAGAAAGATATTAAAGTATGGCTGCTTCCAGCTACCACACACATACAACAGGAATGTTGAGAATCCTCAAGTACTGCAAAACAGTGTATGTGAGCTGAGTTTAAGACCTGGCATTCCAGGATGTGATGCAGTGTAGACGAGACTATATAGTGTAACATCCCAGGAGACAACAGTCTTCAAACTCTGTAACTTGGACCTCAAATGGAAAACGTTTTATGTTTATATAAACAAATCTGAACATGGGGCCAGTCCTTCCAGATGTATGTTCACTTTAGAACACTGACCTGATCACTCCAAATTTATCAGCATAACAGATACCATGCAATGGAAACACAGCCCTGCTGATATAATTTATCCCTTTAGAACACAATGGTTAGAATATATACCACCTGGCACAACATTTAAAAAAGCAATTACTTTGTCTGTATAGTGCATTTATGTGCTTTTTTGATTTTCAGAATAAACAGCTATTGTTTCCCTAAGCATCATTAACTCACTGGCTGTTGCAGTACAGACACAATATGTTTTCTTTGAAGTGGAAACTAAATTTTTAAATATTTACTTGAACTTTATCAAACATGACTTCAAGGTTCTAGATGAATTAATATTTCATCACTTGGGACTGTAACACCCAGTTACGCAAGGAAACGTGCTTCAATTGCAGAATGGCTACAGGCCTATCTTACAAAGGGGAGGCATAACAGATCACACATGGTCACAGTCCAAGGGTGACTTAACACCTACAACTTTAACTTAATCTAGACCGCTTCAGGTTCAAAAGGACTGAAGCGACCTGGGCCAATGGCCAGAGGCTTCCATGTACCTTGACTGATTCCCATTTTCTTTGCCATGGTGCTGAGACAAATTCATATACCACCAGAAGTAAATCGTTCCTTAATTACAATTATGATAATAATAGGGAAATGCTGATGCTTACCACGAGGTAGATCATTGTGTAGGCCGAGAATGAAGAGTGGCCTGAAGGGAATGACAACCTACAAAATAAAGGAAAAGTCTAGAGCTGCACATACTCATACATACAGTATTTAAAATCATAAAAGAAATGGAGGACTGTCTCCAGCCATTTAAGATTCACATAGATATTATCAAAATTTGGATACCATAGTCTTATACCATTTTTAAATTTTATTATACTGTTCCAGGACATAACCAACCTTCAATAGCCCCTAACACATCATGTTGGTGTACATGTGTGTTCCAGCTGGCCTACTGCTGTACTTCTCCAACACAAATATTATCTATTACCCTATACCTATGGTCTGGCTGTCAGCCCTAGAAAACTGGGAGATTCACACTCCTCTGCTCCCAAATGATAAGCTGTAACCCCCACCCCGATCAAAATATGGCCACCTAGCCCACAGTACTGGGAGATTTACAATTTCTGTTCCTGGGTGATAACGGCTCATTTAATATTTTGTGGTTCCATCTCATATGCAAACGATAGTTTCCACTTCTGCTTTCTAAATTCTCTATTCACCCTCTCATGCACAGTGGTTAATGCTTAACATTATAAGATTCTGCATTTCCCCACACACCATATAATAAAAAAAAAATAACTGTATAACTAAAATTCCAGCATATTCAGTCAAAATTTATATCTGAATTAGAAATTATAACAAAGAAAACTGTATCATCACTCGCATCCAAAACTTTCACAAATATCGTATGTGGCCCATTGTCTGGAAATAGATTCAGCCAAAGGTAATAGTGGCCCGTTCATTTACCTCATGTCCTTAAGCCGATGTTTGTCTGTGTTTCGACATTTGAAATTCTCTATGTAGCGGTACTTGAATTCTTCCTTTGAACAATCCACATCAGGCACGCAAACAGCAAAGAAATGTGGCCGCAAACGTCCGACAGTGTACTTGGCAATGTCTGTGGTGAGCTGTGAGCAGGCCATGCCAAATCCAAACACACCGATTACTTTGTAGCAGTTCCACACCCAGGGATGAATATTTCTGCCAAACAGTGTCCTAGTTATATGACTGTTCGTGTTCCGATAATGGACAAACTCTATCAGCAGCATCTACAGGCACAAATAAAATGAACTTCTCAATTTTCCTTCCAGTATTTGTGCATTAACTTTGAAAATGTTACCACATGTTGATGGTGCTGCCAAACCACAAACCTTTATTTGCAAAATCAAGACCCAAAGCCTAATTTTACAAAATTTTTATTTATTTTTAAAAACAAAACCAAAAGCATAACTTTGTAAGCATGATATTGGAGCCAAGCTTTCAGGTTAGGCTTTGGTTCTTGTTTCTACAGATAAATCCATACTTTTCAAGTTACTTGGATAGCCTGCTAATACAAAAATACCTCCCTACATCACTCACTCACTCATGAAGCTGAGCCCTTCTTGAGAAG